ATATAGATAGTAACTTTATCTTCAAATTGACTTGCGATTAAAGTTAAAAACCACCCGTTTTTCCACTCAGAATACGAATATTTGCAGAGCTAAGCGAAGCGTATACGACTTCGTACAATATGAAACTCAATTTTGACATCCTTAATTACTATCAAATCATGAATAGATACAACAGATTCTCATGGTTCTCCAGTCTATTGAAACACTTTACCCTCGCTAGAACCAAAATGCCACCTCTGAATGGTACATGTTTCGCTAACCTTGTAAGCATTGTTACGATACATTTTTATAAATTAATTCGATGCATCGATTCGACTTCAATTGAATATATTTCCTGTTTCACGAACACCCTATAAAAGTAGTCACTTCTTCATAAATTTCTTTTCTATGCGACAACAACTCTTGGGATCAGAACTGATACGAAACGACGTAAATTAGATAGGGATTCCTGGAGAAAATCGTGAAGATATCTGCCTAGTAAATGTTTTTTTAACTATCATCGATTGATTTTCGCATAAGTGCGGATTTACATTTCAAAGGCTGTTAGGGGTTGAATGTTTGGTGCGAATTCAACCCTTGATTCAATCGAGTTTGGATTAAGATAATAAATTGATTTCGAAACGTCTATTGTTGTGCTAGGGATCTCGACACAAGAAGACATTTCATTTCTCACAGACCACGTTCCATATTTACGAGTTTCCTACACTCGTTGTTTATCCAGAGGGAAGTTTCAGCTTGTTTTACTTCCTGAAGTATTGCGACTACTTAGAGTTTGGTATTTCTATACCTTTTTATCTATTGATTGTATGCAACGGACTTGGATAATTGAATCGACGAGGATAAGTACCTCGTAGAGGATTTACTTTTCTTTTAAAAAAAATCGTTATGGAAGCAATAAACACAAGAATTGAAAGATCATTTTCTTGTGAAGTGAATCAATTAAGGACAAACCGATGCCTATATTTTATGTTATACTAGGAACCGTATTCATAGTTAAGAAGAATTGAATGATTGATGTGTTGCCNAACAATGCTTGGATAATTTTATAGAAATAGAGTCAATATGATCATTCCAGGATAATTGGGAGTCAATGTTCAACCCTAAGAATTTGACTGATTTTTTCTGCACAATAGATTTGGTATTAGCTCTAACCAATATACTGCAGTCCATTTCTCTAAGCGAGAAAACAATGGTATTAGATTTATTGCTATTTATAGTACGAGGCCTTTTCTGGCGCAGTAATTAAGCATATTAGCAACTGCAATATCAGCCTGGTCAGAGAACCCTTCACAAGAAGAACAACTTAATAAGAAGGACGTATCATCAGCAAACTGTACAGTACAATGTTGTTGATTAATATTAGAGAAGTCGTTGACGAATAAGAGAAAGAGAGTAGGACCCAGGACACTACCTTGGTGAACACCTGTTGAGATGTTACGATTTTCAGAATTATATATTCCCGATTTGAACCTAACGTTAACAGATTGTGATCTGACAGTCAGATAAGTGTTAATCCATTTTAGACTTTGGCCGCGAACTCCAATGTCATAAAGTTTATCGAGGTGAAGTTGATGATTGATGGTATCAAATGCACGTGACAAATCAAATAGAATACTGATCGATTTTTCGCCATTTTCATTTAGTTGGAGATTAGGTGCTTATCTTTTTTCTTGTGAACATGAACTACAATAGCATGTTTAAGACACGAGGGAAATTAACCCTCAAGGAAAGAGAGATTAAGTAGGTATGTGAATGGTTCAATGATTAGTTCCGCAACATTCAACAAGACTCTGCCTGGTAATTCATCAATGTCATTAGAGTTCTTAGATGATATATACTTGATGATATCAAGAAGTTCAGTTTTGTCTAAAGGATAGCAGAATTTACAGAGTAAATAAAATAATCATTAAAGACTTGAGGAATAACAGGGCCACCATTAACCCGAGTTCCATCATCAGTTTCAAAATAATTCGGAAAGCAATTGCTAATATTATTGGATGTTGTACTCTGTTTAATTATACTCTAGGCAACTTTAGATTTGTTATCAGCTACAAAAATACTCTGAAATACTCTTTTTTTGAATGGTCAATTTTTTTTCTATGATTCTTCAACATAATTTTGTATTGCTCATTAACGATTTCATCACATTGAGTTCTGTTCAGGTTGGAAACATCACGAAGAAGTATACCTTCATTGATGATTTCCTNTTTTTTAAGATAGTCAATGAAAATCATCCCACGCGCATCCCAAAAAATCGAAGCCATGACCTTGCCTGCAGATGAAACGGTCTTCTTTGGAGCCGGTTCTCTCTTTTGTATCCACTGCTTTGATTGTTCTTTTGTCACGGGTATAAAGTGATGGACCCATGTTTCACCATGGTTATGAAATGACCCCAGAATTCTGTTTTGTTGCTGTGAAACTTTGCTATGCTAAACACTCAACTGAAACATCTTCACAACACTGTTTTTGCTCGAGTGTGAGGAAACGCGGTTCTCATCTTGCACACGCCTTTCTCATGTCCAAATTTTCAGATAATATACGATGAACCGCACCTTTTGAAATGCCTACTAAATCTGCTAGCTCGCACACTTTCAGTCGACAATCATTCAGTACCGCTTTGTGGATTTTTTTTACCGTTTCTGGAGTCACCATCTCATTTGGTCGACCACTGTGATGCTCGTCTTGGCAGCTTGTACGGCCTCATTTAAACTCTGCTACCCAATAATTTAATGTTGTAACGAAGGAGCAGACTCACCCAGAGTAGAATCAATCAGTTTTTTTTGGTAGGTCTGAGGCCTTTCAAATAAAAGTATTGTACCACATAACGATGACAAATTTTCTCCATTATCACAAATTCACCGAAAAACGTTCGCTATTGATGACTGCCAAAAAAATACTGAACGATGCAAAGTCTTCAAACTTGAAACATATGCTTTATATATTGTAGCAAGCTATTAGAGTCCGCTTAGTTTGACCAACATTTTTATCGCAAGTCTCACAGCTCATTTCGAAAATCTGTGACTTTCTTCCCCCTAGTGTACGACCAGTTTTAAAAGTCACCTTCAGATTCAATTTTCGAAAAATTTTAACCAATTCGTTGATGTATTTTGGTTCAACTGGAAGAATTATAAATTTTGAGTCTTTGTCTTTCTGAAAAGTTGATTATTTACGAAGATACCCTCTAAATTATCTCTTTCTAATTAACTCATCCACTGAGTGAAGGATATCTGTTACAATCAGCCATCTCCTTGACACCAACCTATAGGAAAGAAAATGTAGACCTACATTTGTGGGCAGTGGCGGGAGCTGTCAGGGATATATCTGAAATTGCTAGTATTCTATATTATTTTTTTTTCACCGTAGTGTGCGCTGGTCAGGCCCTATCCCCCGAAGCCCCGATACATTCGGGAGGGCGTGCTAGTATCATCAACCAATGACCACTCCCCACACCGTGGGGTAAGGGATCATTGGGTCAACCCTTCTGCATCTGTGCGGCTAAGATTTCTGCCTTAGTGCGGCAAGCCGGTATGATTTTAAGATTCGAGAGTAGAGAGGACATCATTCCACCAACGAAAGCCAACATTCCTGCATGATATATAGATTTTTCAGTACACCTCTTATTTTTGGTTCCTACATGGATATTTCGGTTGATTCTGGTATTATAATTATGATAATTTGCATTATAAGTTATTTTTCTGCTCAAGTAGTTCGGAGATAGATGGTGATGCATCAATAATCCCAAATACTTCACTGTTACACTTTCAATATTCTCATAAGCAATCTTTATACTAATTCCTCTATTTTTGATTTCGTCATAACCTGTTTTATTACTAAATATCAAATTCAAAACCCTTATCGGCGAGTCTTGTAACTAGAGCATGACAGTCTTAAGAGTATGGTAACTCTTCGTCAATTTTAATTTCATACATGAACTTTATATTCGGGGATCTGTTGTTGAGTCAAGTCTCAAAATCCTCTGTCTTACTCTTATTCGTGTCGAAAAGGGTAAATACATCATCTGCATATCAGATCCAAATCAGAACATGAGTAAGGTAGAATATTTTGTAACTTGTGAGTACATGAGATCATGCAGATGTTTTTGCAGATATTAATATTTAGGAAAAAAGTTGTTCTTTCTAGTTTTTCTTTGGTTTTAATACATTGATGTAGATCTAGCAAACCATGAAAATTTATTTTTTCACCCATGTTTTTCCTTTATTGCAGGTTATCTGTATTGAGTCTAAAGTTACTGTAGTCTGGCAAGATGGCACAGAAGAGAAGGATATACCCTCCACTCAGTTATACTATTCAATTTCTCTTGATGATCATGAATTTTTTCCTGGAGAATGGGTTGTAAGAGATGATGACAAAGATGAATCTAACAAATACGGCGTCGTCCAAAATGTCAATTATTTAGAGAGAACAGCTAGTGTATGTATTATCATATATTTCATACCACTAGATTCATATATTCAACTAAACTATGAATGAATTAGCAACTGTGGATTCCAAAATTTGAAATATTATTTGCTAATTTAAATAAGAAATTGGTAATTTTAAATTGCTTAACTGTTAGAAAAGTTTCATGAAATGTGCTATATAAACTAAAGAATTTGCATGTGTCTTCAACTGAAAAATTCATGATGATTTTTTATTGAATCCTATTTCAGCTCCAAAATATTGTCATAAAATACATTTTGAATTTGAATTTGGTATACACCATCACTTAACTTTTAATTGTTTATTACTAGCGAACTCGCATTGGCTTCGCACATAGCAGAGTATATATACATACATTTTTTTGTTATATATCAAAGAGATCAGGCAGCGTTTTCAATGAAAGCTCCCAGTCGGTTAGATTTTACCGACATTTTCAACAATTGCCAATATATTTCATCCAATTCTCTAAAAACATGAATTGAATACATAAACCGTAATTCCATTGGTGAAAACTGTATGAACAGTCATTCGGTAATTTGTGAGTTTATTGCTTTCAGACAGGCAGGCACACATGGCCGGGGGACTTTGTTTATAATATTTATTTATTTATTTATTTAATTTATTTATTTATTTATTTATTTTATTTATGTGATACACAAAAATAGAGAAAATAAGAATGAAACATTAACAAAGAGACGGATATAAAGACAGTAATGGCAGTACATAAAGTAAAGATTGTATATAAAATGGCATCAAAGTGACTTAACACGTGTGTTATGCTACAAAGTAATACTAATTAATATAAAATTTTAGTTGTGTTTAGAGAGTTAGGAAACAATTTAGTGGCAGTGTATCTATATTGGTGTTCTAATATTTTGATAAATTGAAAGTAATTTTCGAAGATATTTTTTTTTATTCTATAAAGAAGGTTTTTTAATTTTCAGTACGTTTTATCCTTAGGGGTAGAATATTATAAATTTTAGGTATTATATAAGTTAAAAAGCGATGACAAATATTTTTATTGAATTTTGGAGTAGGTAGCAATTCGTTTGTTGTACTTCTAGTAATATAAACTGTGAAAACATAATGGTAAAATGTTTTGTGTTTGAATGTATACATACATAATCTATGAAAGTATAATGTTCGAAAATTAGTAAGATCTTCTGAATATATAAGATTAGTGTGATATGATCTTTTTTTCTTCAAGATTATTTTCAGAATATAGTTCTGTATGACGTTCAGTTTTTGCAAGGAACTCTTATACATTGCCTCCCACACCAGAATACCATAAAGAAAAAGTGATTCTGTTAGAGACTTGTAAATTAATATGAGTACATTTTTCGATATAAACTTTCGTAGCTGGTAAAATTTACATGTAAGCTTTCTCACTTTTTTTGTCAGATAATCAACATGATTGTTCCATTTAAAAGTATCGTCAATAATTATGCCCAAATACTTGACCTGGTTTATTTCTTTGACTTTCTCCCTCATTACTGGAACTTTAATATTGGAGAAATTAGGTATATTTGCTGATGTTATAGAGAAAGCTAGATAGTGGGTTTTACTAGCTTTTAATGAAAGACGATACATATTCAACCATTTATGAATTTTTTCCATGCTTGACTCGACAGAATTTTTGGTTTCAGACCACGTATTTTCGTTGAAAATAACAACTATATCATCAGCGAATGATATAATTCTTGCTTTTACTTTCAAACAAAGTAGAGAATTTAAGTATGCATAAGTATTTTCATCAAAAAATTCTACTTATCCAGTTTTTAGACATTTCTCATATATAGTGATATTATTTTAAACCATCTGAAACAATCATATTTTATTTGTATTTTTTCTGTTGATAAAGTTGCAAACCACTGAAATGTAGGAGCAAATCCAAGTGGTGCTTTTTTTATTCAAAATCAAAAGTCCAAAAACAAACATGTTTCCCAATCACCAGAACCACCAACCATGTTGGCGTTTTCAGGAAATGAAGAAAAATTCATCTCATCTCCTGTCAAGAAGTGACTATTTCACAAAAAATTCACATACAAATCATAATGTTGAAATATAAAAATTTAAATATCTCAAAAAATATCACAAAAAGTGATACTTTTCTTGTAGGAGGAATCATTCTCAGAAACCATATAAATTTAGGAAAAACTACTTGTTAAGTTGCATTTAGAGTTAATTGATTAGTTTCCCAACTAAATTAAATTTTTTACCAATCATTCCTTCCGTTGTTTAAACACAAGGTTTGAAAAGTATTTAATTCTGTAGTTGCGAAAACAAAAGATTTTCAAGTTCTTCTCTGGTTTTTCATAGATAGTGGGTGAATTTTAAAACTATCCTCATTCTTAGAAAAAGTGAATTTAAATATAAATGTTCCTGAAATCAGAAATCATAACCTTATCTGTAGCCCATATTTCATATGAAGAGATTATAATCACTTTCAAATTTTGCATTGATTTGTCTATTGGTTTTTCCAAAAAGTAGTTCAATAATTCTTTATATTGTAAAACAATTTTCTAGATAAAATGGTTCTCTCATTCAGAAACTGAAAAGAAGCCTGAAGAATTAGCAATAAGTGAAATGAGTGTTTATGACCTGAAAAAACATGCAAAATTTGTTTTCCGTCCTCGTAGCATAGTCAAGTCGAAACCAGCTCAGGATGAGAAGATGGGAAAAGTAATAGATAGTTGCATAGAAGTAAGTATAATCAAATAAAAATTTTCAATAACAGTCTAAATATGTATTGTTCCAAGGGATATGTAAAGGTACAATGGTTAGATGGATCAGAAGAAAACTGTTGGCCGCAAGATATTGAACTTATTCCAGAAGCAGCTGATTTAGATTATTCAGACGAAGAATCATCAGATGAAGATGGTGCCGGTGTATCTTGGGAGACTGAAAGTATTGAATCTTACGCAGGGGATTTATCTGATGAAACGGTACTGCAGAATATGGCTGCACGGCTTGATTTTGTTAGGAATAGGATAATATATTTGAAGGAAGCTTTCAAGCAGCATACAATTACTGAGAATATTTCGGTAAGATCAATTATTAGTAATAGGTTGTTTAACCCGTTTGCAAACCAGGGTTGATATAAAAAATTGTATAATAGAGTTTCAACCTGTTCTAATGAATATTTTGATCAACTTTCTTTACACAATGAAGGTAAAATGATTTCTGTCAGTCATTTTATCATATTTTCAATTCTTTAAAGTTTATGAAAGAACTTGGTTGGCTTAATGTTATGAAAAAAAAAATCATGTACATCTTTACTATTTGTAATATTTTGACTGGTTAGGAAATAGCTTTTCTAAAGGCTTATGATTTATTTTTTAGGTATGTTTTAATTTCGATAGCATTTTTCTTGGAATCAATGAAGACATGAAGAAGATATGCCCTTAAGTTTTCACAAATGATATGGAAATGTGACATCACAATATTGTTACGTTTTTCCCCGTGGGTTGACCAATAATTGACTACACTGAATAACCAAACTTAATTTCATTTCACTTTAAATACAACAAACACTTCTACTGAACTTCAACTATTATTTGAATGTCTATCGCCTTCTTTGATCGCTTCGCGTACTGCACTGTAGCTTTCACCTGACTGTCTTGATATCCTAGTGGCTAGCCTTTAAATACCGTAATCGAATGCCGTAGAAATTTCGCTGAAGTAGTCTGTCGGTAGCATTATTCTCGCTGCTTCTCGAGTGGCGGGGAATCATACATACGCGTGCTCTTAGTTACGTCACCATTGTCTTATGAATACCAGAGCCGGCCGGCGTTATTTCTTTCGGGCATGATTCACAACAATATTCATAAAATTCTACTTTCAATCCAATAAGTAGTTGACAAAAGTACTTGTGTCAAAAAATGTACAGAATTTCTACATGCAGAAAGAGTGTTTGAAATGTTAATAATGAAATCTCATGAAGAACTTGAATAAAAAAAAATATTGATGGTATGAGCTAGATAATTGAAGAAGATCAACATGAGATATACAGTGGAATGAAAGTCTTCCTTGGCATATCACATACTGCATTACATTCGCTTCTGCAAGAACATTGGGGTGTGAAAAAGAATATTCCAAATGGATTTCACTCAAAAAAAAGTGCTAAAATCCTACAAAATGTATTCATTTACAAAACATTTCAAAGAAATAACTAAAAATTGTATGAATATAAATAGCAAAACCTAGTTGAAAATGCACTAACATGAATAATGGAGTCCCTGCTGCAAATCCAACCGGCAAAGCGATAGCGTTGAGCGATTGTGGACTGTATAACATAAGAGGACTGGCAATAAGCGTTAGCGAAAACTTAGGAAAAATCACATGAATAGGCAAACTTGAAAATCATACGTTTCAAAACTGTCTGTAGTGATAACGTGCTACTTTGGTGATGACCTATAATGTTACAATATTATCCGTTATGAAAATGCCAGCTCTTAGAGCACTTCAAACTATTGATCATTTGAAGGAGAAACAAATATTTGTCATTACTCGTATTCTACTGGTTTCTCGCTTCATAATTGGTTGAAATGCATGCAAAATCGTATCAATCTTGAAGGCGAATCTCTTAAAAATTTATAAAACCATTTGTTTCAAAAAACGTATGCTACCTCTTGTAAAAACTTGAAACGTGAGTCTTGTATATGAATAGAAGGATAAATCAACTTGAGCTTGTAAAAATAAAGTGAACTTATTATTATTTGGTGCCTATTTGTATTTTTTTAATAAAATGGAATGATTGAATGCTGTCTGTAAAAAATTCAAATGAAGTCATACATTTGTTCATGAAGAGGAGTTTCCTGGGCACTTGGAAAACATGGTTATGAAGAAAGTTGTTGATGAGATCCTTCAATATGATCGACAAACTGACGTGTATGCATAATAAAAGAGGCCATATTCATATCATATGGAAAGAAAAATAAATATGTCAGATGATTAGTCAAGTATAAGAAAGATAGGTGCCACCATTGCTTGTGGTAGACAACAAGCAGATACCTAACATTGTCGAAGTACTTTTATTTGAATATCTTTATGAGAAATATTCAGGAGGTTGTGCATTGAGTTGTCATCATTGAACTTGGATACATCTAATATATTCCAAAGAGTAAGCAACAGGTTTTTAAAGGTGAATCTATTTCCCTACAGAAAATTAAAAATTAGTCAGTACTTTGGTGAATTAATTATTGGATCTATTAAAAAGGATACAAGAAGAACAAATGCTGATAACACTGCAGCTGTCTCTATATGTGGGTCAGCAGACAGTGCTATAATTTTGTAGTGGAAAAGTGTTTTCTTCAGATACATTACAAATAACCGCCATACTAACCTACTTGGTTTGGTGATTTCTTGTGTTTCCTAACATCAAAAATTGGTCCAAGAGACTCATTCAGCTCAAATACTGAGTTTATCGCCGACACAGAAGACATTTTTTAAATGGTTCAAGAAAAGACGGCAACATAAGGAAAAGTTTATAAATGTTGAAGGACCTTACGTTGGAAAATAGAGGACATGGATATTTATCGATCAACCTTCATCTAGTACTTCATATCTTAATAATGGATTGAGGGTCAGCATATCTAACTTACGTAATATCTTCACTATCTCGTTTCATCACAATCTCGATTGTATGCATAAAAACGCTAATTAAGTTGAAGAATGAAATTGAAGATCATTCAACACCAATACATATGTACGTTAAAAATAATATGTTTTTTAGTTTCTCAAGGATCTGCTGTTGGTATATGAAAACTCGAGTTATTTAGACAAGTTGCTTGGCACCTCTTTCTTCAGTTTGAAAAGCAAGCACTTTCAAGCCCTACTCGTCCAAGTGAAAGAGAAAGCAAAATCTCTTGGCCTAGATCTAAGGGGAAGACTGTTTTCAAGTGACAATCTCTGTCCGTCCATTTCTAAAATTAAGATAGCAGAAAAAGAAAACATCAGCAAAATGATTAAGCTAGAAAATAAAATCAACGCACAAATAGAGAAGATAGAGGGCAAGGAATCGACAGGTGAGAGGTTGAACTAATTAATGTAATTTAAAAACTGAAATTTCCTTTTATCTTCATATTTTCAGATATATTCTTACCTTCTTCGAGGGTTTGTTGAATAGAGAAACAAATTACACAAAAATAAGAGAGTTTTTCATTTTCAAATCCAATATTGTAGAAGATATCATTGTGTGCCACTGTACAATCACGTTTACCTGTATTGTTCGTTTCACTATACACTAGATGGTCCCTATCAAATAACTTCTCTTTCTCAGTGTTACTATCTCCATTCGGGTTTGAAAGCCGTCGTAGTTTGGAACTGCATCCTAACATTTCTCGTCAGCACGAGTGGTTGGCTTCTTCACAGGTTTATTCATCTTAATGGTCCACCGATGACTAGTGATTTCTAGTTCGTAAGTTGTATTTATGTTGACTCGCGTAGTCCGCCTCCTCTTTTCTATTGTACTTTTCCGTATGTTTATGGATTTCTATGGCGTCCCGTACAAGCCGACTGTGGTATCCATGGTCGGATGCAAGTAGTTTCACATCTTCAAACAGTATCGTATGATCTTCTTCACTAAACGCGTGTTCTGCTACTGCCGATTTGTCTATTTGACCTAATCTACAGTTTATTCGATACCGATATAAATTTTTCCGCAGGTGCATGGTATACGATATACCACCGCAGCTGATAGGAGATCTCTTTTGTCTTTTGCAGATCTCAGACTTTGATGTATTTTCCTGATGGGCTTGAACACTGTTTTTATTTTATGTTTCCCTAAGATTTTTCCAATTTTGTCTGTAACCCTAGGGATGTACAGTAGAAATGCACACGCAACTGTTTGAGTTTCCTCCCTATTTTGACTTGTGGAAGTCTTTAGTTTCATGGCCTTGTTGATTTCATTTACACTGTATCTATTCGATCTCAAAGCCACTTGTCGCTGATCCAATTCCTCTTGTAGGTTTTCCGGTTCACATATTCTATGGGCATGTTCCGTCAGGGTGTTGATAATTCCCCGCTTTGACTTAGATGGTGGTTTGAAATTGCATGCAGATATCTGTCCGTATGTGTCAGTTTTCGGTACACTTTATGTGTCAATTGTGTGCCACGGCTTTTGATGAGTACATCTACAAAAGCTATCCGTTGTTCCTGTTCAGTCTCCATAGTGAACTTGATGCTAGGGTGTTGAGCATTTATGTGGTCTAGAAATAGGTTTAGTCTGTCCCTCCCATGTCTCTAGATGACGATGGTGTCATCCACATATCGTAGCCAAATGGTTGGTTTGAAATCGAAAGCGTCGATTGCCTTCTCAAATTGCTCCATGAAGAAGTTGGCTATCACCTGACTGAGTGGACTTCCCATCGCTACGCTGTCTAATTGCTTATAGAAATCTCCTTTCCATTGTAAGTAATTTCCCGTGAGGCAGGCCTTGGAAAGTCGGAGAATATCACTAGGAAACAGGTTGGCTATCTCTCTCAAAGAATATTTCAGTGGCACGTTGGTGAACAAGGACTCAACGTTGGAACTGACCAGAATATCATTTGGCCCAAGGTTATATTCCTGATTTTTCCCACAAAGTCTGTCAAATACTTGATGTACGAGGTGGTTTTTCCAACATGAGGCTGTAGGAGCGATGCTAGGTGTTTTGACAAGTAATACTATGGGTCTCAACGGAACTTCCTTTTTGTGTATCTTCGGAAGACCGTAGAGCCTTGGCGGGACGGCTTCTGTTCTCAGAATAGTCTTCGGAATGGTTTCCGACAATGATGATGATTTTATGAGACGGTTCGTATTCAGCAACCTTAATTGTGTTGGGTCTCTTTTTAGCTTGCGATAGCTGAAAGGGTCGAGAAGTTCTTCAGTTTTTACGATGTATTCTTCTGTTTTCAAGAGCACCGTGGCATTTCCCTTGTCAGCTGGTAGAATGGTGATCTCCTCATCTGAGTTCACGTTTTTCAAAGCCACAATTTCTCTTTTTGGTATATTGAATTTTGGTGTTCGGACGAAATATTTCATTATGACTACTGTTTTAACCTTCTCTTTGGTAAATGCAAATATAATTGCATACATTTTTGGCTAGATAATATTTCACATTTCGAAAGATGAACACACACATAATAATGGCAAGCTTGTGTAAACTAGGCAATAATGAACCATAGTTATTTGCATTTTTTAAAAAACCCTAACATCAAATAAAGTTAAATAGAACTTATTTTCTGTTGAAAAGTTTGAATCACCGCTTCCAATATGAGAAAATATTTAATGGTTCGATGGATATAAGTATTGACTGAATTTATCTTTTCAGTCCCAACAACACCTCTCACCCCTGAGAGTACAGAAATAGCTTATATTTCTCAAGAAAATCTCTGCATAGAACTTCTCTCTATGCTCAAAGTTCGCATGGACCTTGCTTATGCCGAAATAATAAGTCGAATTGGAGGCAGCCAAGCTTTTTCAGTTCTTACAAAAGCTTCTGAAAATATAGCTACTCCATCTACCACTACACCTTTACCAAGTTGTCCTACCACACCAGAGGAATCTTTTTCCACACTGAGTCCTTTGAAACAAAAATTGAGTGAAAATATTGAGGGAGAGAACGTACCATATTCAATAATTGAAGATGCTCCTGTTACCCATCATTATTTTTCAACAAAATTTGAACCAACAGATCTACAGAGGTGGGTTAATTGCAACCTTTCACCAATACTAAATTTTACATGAAAGTATAATTTCAGGTTCCTCAAAGCAGTTCAGAAGGAGTACAAACTCATGAAGGAATCTCTTCCTCGTGGTGTATGGGTACGATCGTATGGAAATAGAATTGACTTGTTATCTGTAATGATCAAAGGACCGGCCAAAACGCCTTATGAAGATGGATTGTTTCTCTTTGACATCCAGCTCAGTTCTGACTATCCCCGGTCACCACCACTAGTTCACTATATAAGCTATAGCTCAGAAAGACTCAATCCAAATCTATATGTCGAGGGAAAGGTTTGTGTGTCACTTTTAGGAACTTGGATGGGACGCGGCACAGAAGTTTGGGGTCCCAACAGCACCCTTCTCCAACTTATAGTTTCCATCCAAGGATTAATTTTAGTAGCAGAGCCTTATTATAATGAAGCTGGTTATGAAAAACAGACTGATACGCAACAAGGTTCGTAATTATATTTTATATTATTACTGTTGTTGGATAAGAAGCTGTCAAAATATTAGACTGTTGAGTCAATACTTCGATTAATAACACATTCATAGTGTCTGGGAAGTTATATATTCCATTAATCGATAATATATTCAGCTTCAGGTGGTAGAGATATAAGCTGATTGTCGATTTGACAATTTTTGAAGAACCGCACCTCAACGTTTGTTTGAATGTGGTTGATAATGTTTCATGGTGAATATTAGTGGTTCAGACTTAAATTGTCTAGAAATTGTTGTGGAATTGGCCGCGATGGTAGTGCGCCCGACTCACGATCGGAAGACCGTGGGTTCGATTCCGCCTCGACCAGATAATTTTCTCGAGAGAATTTATCTGGTTGAAGCTGGAATGATTCTGCAATCGTGTTAGGAATCACACGTCAAAAGGTAAGGCCTCGTTAATCCTTAGCTCTCACAAGTTTCTCAACTTCTGAGAGTTGTTATTCGTTTGGGGGCGACAGCTGATTAACGAAAAAACAGATTTTTTTTTTGAGAAATTTGAAGTCTATCATGAATAGAGAATTGAAAATTTCAAAAGTAATGGAACTAACAGAAGCAAAATATTTGGTTGAGTAAAGAATTGCACTAACCGTTGAAAATCTTAATTCGGTGAGCACAATAAATATAGGTACCCACCAACATGACATGAAATAGTATGGAGACTAAATTATCCACAGGTAGGAACACTGATTTTGAAGAAAGTTTAAATAATATATGAAAACCTCTAATTATTCCGGAAAAATTGCGACGGTGCTACAAACCGGAAAAAGAGAGGAAGAGAGAGGAAAGCGTTAAAGTGATATAGGTCAGTTATCATCTGAAGACAATAGTGCATACTTTGAATTGAAATGCGAAGTATATTGGTTTGAACATTTTATAACTTTTAACATCTTCAATCATCAGTCTGGGGCATTGAACAGACTAAAACAAATCGTGGGTTTTGGGTTCTACTTGTCAAGTCCTTTCTTTTGATACCTATATTAAAGGGTTTGGAAAAAGGTAATCCGCCATTTTATGTTGGCAGCCATCTTGGATTTGTAATTATTTCATGGTGTATTGTATTCTACTAGATAAACCCATATTGAGTAGGTTGTAAAAATATCTAATCCACCATTTTGTGGTGGCGGTCATCTTGGATTTACAATAGTACTGAATGTTCATAATTGTATTGTTATCAGAGCTGAAGGTGTGTATGTACCTACCAAATTTCATATCAATCAGTCAACAGGAAGGGGGTAAAATTTTAATGTTTCAATAGGTTTCTTGTATATCACAATTTTTTTGCCTAAAAAATTATTTTTCTTATCGTATCCTTTCTTAGTCTTTTTCTTTTCTTATCCTATGCAGACAATATAAAAAATTGATGGATGGGTGAGTGATTATTGATTTTTGTTTGCTGGTGATGGCGCAATGTTTTATTTAACAGACAATAAAAATTCCTCTCTTCCTCTCTGTATTTTACACGTGATCAAACAAAAAAAAAATTTAAAAATCAATTTATTTTACTATAACATTAGCAGATGAACTGTTTGAACAAAAAATGTTTTTCTTGAATTCCTTCAGGAAGACTAATGGACCCGAAATAGATCCTAGTCTAGCTTTACTTATACTCTTCTCATGAATAAGATTTCAACCACAAAAGGAAGTTACACCTGTGAAATCAACCGATGACAAATTGATCAACTCCTCATTAGAAATAATGGAGATCTTTGTCGATTACTGAAATGAAGATAGTTATAAATTTGATCCGTATTCTCAAGTAGAAAAACTTATTTTTTTAGGTTATGAAAACTCGAGGACTTACAATGAACTCGTCATCTTGAAGATGGTACAGTCAATGAGGGAGTTACTACTCTCTCCTACTGAAGCTTTTAGACAGGAAATTTTCGCACATTTTTCACAAAACGGCCAACAACTATGTGATAGGTTGAACAGTTACTGCAGTGACAATGATCCGGTGGATCCGGGATTTCCTTTGCTGCCTGTTAGTCGAGGGTTGAAACTTTCCCTCTCATCAGCATTAGAATCATTTAAAGGAGTACTGAGTAAAATTGGTGATAAGAGTGAGGTTGCAAAAGAAACATAATTTTGTAATGTTACTCTCAATAAACGTTGATTATTCAGTTGTTTTTGGCATGTTGATCTGAGTAATGATGAATCTATTATCAGTACATGCTTAATGATCTAAGTTTCAGCTTATTCTGATGAGGTTTTTTGTCTTTATTGTGATCGATTTAGTTTGTACTAGTCCCTCATGCAGAGCTGCTTCAGTTGATTTAGGTTGATGGATATTATTTTGAAAGCGGTTTCTTGAAGTAGGTTAAAAACATTTCTGTGATTACTTTTCAGACTTCAACTGAGGCACACTCTGTCGAACAAAAAGTATTATTTTTTAAAATATTTATTGCTAGCATAGGTTTTTATGTTTATAATATCTCTACATAAATTTACGATTTTCCCAAATATCTATGAAACCAAAAAAGCTGTAAAATTTTTTTCATATTTTATAATAATCAATCAACTTTACGACAATTCAACTGACTTCAATTTTTCAATAGTTTATTTTGTAAGCTACTTACACTAATATCGCAAAAATTATTTGCCATATTGGGAAAGCATTATATGAATTTTAATCAGTTAAGTTTCTGCCTGTGTGGTTGCTGTATGGTGAAAAAATTACCTTCTTAGTTAGTTTTGAGAAAGGTATCGTCAATTATTTATGATATTAACTAAGCTACCGAAATATCCATCACAAATATTATTTTCAGTTTTGACATGTAGGAAAATTAATTCAATTTAGTTGGTACTTGAAGATTTTAGCAGTACTTTAGCCATGTTATGTATTTGTCAATGTTTCATCCCAAACTTAGTAGAACTGTTTCTGTGATAGTAGCAATAACTATCAGAAATTACAAATCACCTTGTATAGTTACAGCCAAATGACTATTATTGAAATGGTTAATTGGAATCTAGTGGAATTGCTTAATATGCTTTCAGTAAACCCTGAACAAATTTTTGCATTGATATTTTTTTGCTTTTGAGAGGTGTATATTTTAGATTGTCCGTTCTATGCTCAATTCATCAAGTCCAAGCACAATGTTTCAATATACTATTATAGAACATGTGTTATTGTTACAATTGAACTTTGAAATTTACCTTAGTGATTCAGTCCATTTTGTAGAATTTAATAAATGCGTTGATTGTTGAATTCATCTTTTATTTTTCCTCTGTTCTGACCATTACATATTGTGGCACTTTAATATTGATCTTATAACAGTAAAGTACTATGCCATTATAGAGTAAATGTGAATTCTTCATTGCTCTACTACATATTACATGTTTTTACATATTCCAAAGGAGCATTCTCAATGCAATATACATTAATTAGGAGATCAAGAGGAAAGCAAGTCCCAAATATTTGTGATAAATTTTTAATGTCATTAACAAAAATTATAAACGAATGTATAAACTTGTGAACTTGGATTACAAAATAACATCGATAAAAGCAAATGACAGTACAGTAACCAACGGTGAAACCATTTGTGAATTTTCTGATGATTTTTCTTCAACCCTTAAAATTCCAATAAACAGATTCTACCAATAGCAGTTATTAAAATATTTGCAATTACCACATACTTGATTTGTCTTACCCACTCATCTCTCAAAATTTTTTTATCAAAAAGTGTTCAGAAAGTTTGACACCCACTCTTCCTAATTTTCAATAGATCTCTCAGAAATATTTTCCCAAATTCTGAAAACAAGCCTATGTTGTCCCTTTACACAAATCTGGTAACAGACAATTGCCTAAGAATTATAGACCTGTCTGTTTTTCTATCACATCTAAGTTGTTTGAATCAATTGTGCATGATTAATTGTATTACAACAATCAATATTTTAAATAAAACTAACAGGGATTTATTAAAGAAAGATCTTCCAAAACAAACTTTTCCAATATACATAAAATATTTTAGAAAACCTTGCACATTGGTGCAATTGTCACCAAAAAGGCTGACATACCAGGTAGTTATTTTTTGGTTTGTATAAAAAATAGAAATTCATGATATTTTCTTGGAGATTGAACGTCAGATTCAGAATATACTAAAGTATTTTAAAATGATTGGATGAGAGTGAGTTCTGATGAAACCATAATTGATATTGGATGTTTAGAATAGAAAATATTTATATATTTGATACTACTAATTTTTAAGGAAAATAATATAATTACATTTCTATCATTTTGTTTTGTTCCACTTGGATTATTTTATATTAGAAATAAATTGAAATCTACATTCGCAGGAAACATTTCTCCTTCTTCCTAAAACTCTCTTTGAATTCCTTCTTCCTCATCTTTCCTTTTTCCGACAGTACTTCAACCAGTACATTTATTCTATCAACATATTAGTATCAGATATGTCTCATGAATCTATCCAATTAATAGTTATATATGAAACTTTATCATCCACCAACGAGGCCAGAACTGCTTTCTTCTTCACAGACGTCCCTAGCCTTCCTAAGGCAACAAGTTCACTTGGTGACAGAAGTTTCAGATTATCTACACATTTGACAATAAATATTGCATGATGGCATATGGGATCTCCAAAATAAACCAAGAAATCACCACCAAATTTAGCCCCTTGCGTAATATAGTAACCCCTTTCCCAAAGGTCTCTAAATACATTTCTTTTCAGCTGTGATGTGAGTTTAGATAGATCATCCTCAGAGAGTAATGTGGAGTCTAATTTTGTTACATTACTCGGGGCTGACATTATTGGCCATATCATATTATCTTTTGTCATTGATGATGATTTTTTCAGTTCTTCCTTTAGTATTTCATCAGCACTGCGATTATCATTAACCTTCCTTCTATTTTCAACAATTTTATCAATTATATTTTCCAACTGAATTCTTCGAATTTTTTTATATTCTTCTACTTGAGCCCTAAATAGTCCATCTTCATAGTCTTTCATCACCTCTTTGTCTCTATTATTTTTTAGTGTTTCTGTTGATATTTCTAAGATATTGGCAATTTTCTTTTGAAACAGTAAGAAAGCCTCTTCCGGAGATACTTTCAAAGGGAGTGCTGGAACATGACTGCTATTTCCAATGATTTCTCCAATGATCCTGAATTTTTTCCTGAGTTCAGACCAATGGTCTACATTGAAGACAAATATTTTTCCTCCGATATAATATAAATCAATCATAATTAAAATTAGTACTTGACAAACTTACAGCATATGTGGTTTTTAAAACAATCTTTCTCAGATTTCTTTATAACCATAAATAAATATTTCTGTGTTTATAACTACAACCATATGACAGACAGTATTCGTTACGTGTCACTTGTCATGTTCATAGATTACAGAATTAAGTGTTTATGTTATGTGGTCATGTTTATGTGTATTTCCGTGGAAACTAGACACACATGTTACGACTAAAACGCTTTTCAACTATGGCGGATGGACAAATTGTGTGATCGCCGAAACACCGTAAATGTTTAAAATATTTGGAATTTTCAAAGTGACGTTTATGTAAACCTTATAATTGACTACTTTAACAATAATAAAGTTGGTCTGTCATTATGATATTTTGGAGATTTGGCGTTTGACAGTTCTAATGATAAATAGATCAAAGATGCTTTGGTGGAAGAAACTTTGAAACGAAAGTTGTAGAACTTTATTTCAATTGACTCTCCTTGACTTTTATAATGAATAATTTCTTGAAAAACTACTGAGAGATACAGTTATTAGTATACCATCAAAACATTCAATTATTTTAACTTATATGTACTTATCACAACGGATGTAGATTTTTCAATAAGTTACCAAAAACTAGTAGGGAATATAAGAATATTCTCAAGTTGAAAAAAGGAATCAAGGAACTTATTTTGGTCAGAAAAACGTATTATGACGTGTTGATAAATTTCTCTCTCAGGTACTCTTAATATATATTTTCTGCTTACAGTTTACGCTCATTCAAGTAGATATTTAAATAATTTTCAGTATATTCATCAAGTAATGTAGGTACATAAAATGCCGATTTTCATTAAGTAATTTTTCTTTTGTTTTGACTATTTGGAATAATTTGACAAGTAATATTTTTGATATTGAGCCATTTTATTGTGTATTATGTAAGTCTTCTTTCAGGAATTCTATATTGACGAAATTTCGACTTCAAACTCAAATTTCAACTTCAATCTCGACATTTCGACTTTGAACTAGAAACTTGGACTGTAAACTCGAAATTTTGAAGTCGAAAGTTACAGAGGACGAAACTCGTCAGCGATCGATGTCGAAGCTTGGGTTTGCAAGTGACCGCCTTGGGAAGCCTCATTAATTTTTTATATTTAGGGATTGCGTTCTCCTGTCGATCTAAAGATGGCGTCTTCGAAAGGAGAGATGTCATCGCCCTCATGTTGCAATGCATTTGTGGTTTGTCCTAGAATCACTTTTAAGACCTACGGCAGTTCGAAACATCCCTGGTGTTGAATCATAAATGCGTGGTGTTGGGCTCTAGTTTACAAATTGCCTTAGAATGAAAGCTGCAGTGAGAGACAGAGGACAAATCTCATCGATGGTCAATTTCAAAGCTTGATTTCGCATCTGATCGTCTTGGGGAACTTCATTTATCTTTGATATTCAATGACTGATTTCTCTGTCGATCCCATAGATGACATCTTTGTAAGGGGATGTCATCGCCCCCACTTGAAATTGAGAATTTAAACTCGTAATTTCGACTATAACCTTGAAATTTCGACTTCAATTTCGAATAACGACTTCAAACTCGAAATTTTGACATTAATCTCGAAATTTCGATTTTAAACTTAAAGTTGTCATTCAGTGATACGTAATATATGATTAAACTCCAATGAGGCTGTAGATTGTAGGTCTACTATTTGAACAATATTTTCTGACAGCGTTAAAAAAAATTCTTAAAAATTGCATTTTTAGCAAAACTTTAACATTAGCCTATTAAATATTTTGGACAATTTTGGTTCATCAAGAAAGATGTTTTAAACCAATATAAATATACCAGTAGTAGGTATATAAATGTGACGGTTAATTGATCATAAATATACTAAAGAAGTCGTGTCACAATTTTTGGCTTTTCCTCGAAACCACATATAAATTAAGCTACCATATTATCTTATCGGCTACAACGTCCACGTCGTTAAATTTATATTTGATTAATTTCATTTAATACACCACCGAAACTGTTATGGGCTACATGTTATATGAGTTCGAATTGCGGTTTTTTATTAATGATTTTCCATTATTATCTTGCACGGTCGTTGTAAAAATCAACTTCGAAATCTTGTGTCATTTGTTATGAAGATAATTACGATCCACCAACAATTCTCAAGAAACCTACTTCTTTTTGTAACGGATACCTGCATTCCAGCAATTCCAATTCATAAATAATGAAACTGAGAATTGAAGATGATATTCAGATTTTGAGTCTTCGAAAAGGAGCCCGCGATATGATCCGAAAAAAAAAGGAGAATCACATCGATTTGCATCATTGGTGTTGTTGTACGATACCAATTTATGTATTCAGGTTGCAGGAACTGATTTCAGCGTCCAGAGAAGTTCATTTCTGTCTGAAGAAAATACAATAGTTATGAAAAAATGAGTTTTCTGTCAAATAGCTTCCATACCTTTACGAACGACTAAAATTTGTGCGAACTATAAATTAACGAGGTTTTACTTTTGAAAGTGATCAATCAAATTTCACAACAGCGGTAACTTCATGAGGATTCATCAGTCAACCGGCTACGTCTTACGTAGATGTAATTCAAAATTCCAAATACTTTTTTCAAATTGTTTCTACAACTTTCATTGATTTCATAATTTCCTTCATGGATTTCGTTAAAATTTAAAAGGTGGATATATTGAAGGAGGGATTAGTTTTTGGGAAACAGTTTTTTTACTTTGTATTTCTCCGTCTTCATACAAAAACATGTGAGAAACTTGCAGAGAAACGGATAAAGTAGTTAACTTCAGAATAAACTCTTCACAAAGCTGAGTAGATCGTCAACTGATGCATGATGCAAGTGCTTTCAAACATTTGAACATTGCATTTTGAGAATTTTTCTATTGATTCTGTACTCCACTGTCAGCTGGACCATCCCTGGTGCCCCAGACATAATTTAAATTTGACGCCCCCCCCATAAATTTTTCTCATAGGAGAAATCCAAGAGACATGCAAATACATAGTAAAAAAGAACGCTTTTATTGAAAAATCAGATAACTTGAGATCTAAGGTCACCCTCTATCATAGATGTGGATAAAATAGTTGTTTGTAAATTATTGTAGTCATAGCTTTCTATCTATCCCCTAGGCCTATTCGTTTTATGTCGTTGGATATCGTAAGCAAGGAATTTCTGAAATTCGAACACCTGACAGTTCCTGCTACTTTCTGGAATTTGGGAGACTGCAGTTTCAACCTCCCAGAATGCAGCCAAAAGGGGGGAGCTAATGAATTGGATGAGTACTGCCATTATTTCTTTTGATCACCGCCTTTTTCTTCTGACGCCCAATTTCGCCACCTGCCTAGTTATTTTCAGTTATTTTTAATCTAACTTATTTATATAAATGAATTAGACTTGTTTCAACTCCTAGTGCGTACAGGGCTAGGTATTATAGGTATCAGTATGTGCAGTTTGTATAGTCATGTAATACAGATGTTTTCTGTCTTTCCAAATAATTAGTAAACACGAACCGCTCGTCTTCACTGAGCTAACCAGTGTTCTACCTTACCTCAGATACTGGCTTTCGGTAAATCACAATAAAATATTGCTTCCCCCTTTAGAGTAACGACTAATTAACTCTTATGAAATAAAGGAAGACTCCTTCTGAACCCGAAAAACCTGTAGCAATGGCGCCCAACGTGGGACCATTGCCCCACGTCTTACTACTCTCGTAAGCGGACGACGTAACTGTACCAATTGAAGGCTCTTATCCTCTCAGTATGCTGAATTGGACGAACAAAGCACCCATCGTGATCTCCAAATGAATGAATATCCATAACTTCCAGCTCTCGGTAGAAAACAGTGCAAGCATATGGTTCTATAAGAACAATAGAAACAGGAATTTCTTTCCTCACGAATTAATAATTAATTCAACGACCAAAGCACAGTTCAAATACAAAACTTTGAGATTCATTCAATACATAATTCAGACTCAAATCAAAATATTGAATCAATTAAAATCAAAGCTCCTAGAGGCATCAACCAAAAATGATCGTTCAGTAGAGTGTAGTAAGGAGTAGATTCAGCAGCTCCTCGAATGGCATACAGTAGACTCGTTGAATTCCATATTTTGAGTATGGGTCAACATTCTTCAAGTCGTCACCAATAAGCAAACTGAATGAATTAAACACAATACATTATCAAAACCTATGAGTGATAGGATGCATGAGTTTACTCCAACTTTTACATTCTTGACCGATACATCAGGAATATCTTCAGTATGGGTGAAAATAAGGTATCTCCTAAATTCCTTTCTAATTTGACTCTGACCTCCAATCGCTTATGCCACCAGCGAATGATATATTAGGCTGTTTCAAAAGTTTCGTACGTTTTTATGAGTCTACTTTATACTGTAACATCTCAGTGAATTCTTATTCAATTAAATCGAAATAAGCCCCAATAAGCCATGAAGTCGACGAAGGCCGTTTTTACCTGGTTCTGATTGGCGAAGGTTCATTTAGAATTAAATTTCAATCAATTGCTTCTGAGAAAGACATTTTACTAAGAGATCTGTGATCCAATCAATGGTACATGTGAAACATAACACGTACAATTCCAGCCACCAAAACAAACAACGAACGGTCCATTTTAACTTTGGGTTAATCAGAATCGAATACTTAGAGGAGTGATATTAGGCAAGTAACACCTAAAGTGAGACAACACAACACGAACGTCTACAAGAAGGGTGATATTCCAGATTAACGAAGACTGGGCAAATTGTTTGAGAAGAAGAGCAAGTAGGTAAGTAAGCATTTTTAAGAGTTATGATTTCAGACAATCGACTAGAGAAAGAAGCGGATCTATAAACGAATTGTAATATAGAATCCAAATAAGTTTTATGGGAAATCAAGATAATTTATTTATATGATGCAAGACATTTTCTATGCGTACTTTTCTGACACATGTTTTATTAATATAGCTTTCGGAAACAAAGATCAACAGGCGAACTTCTATCGTATGTCACCCATATTTGGAACAACGCAATCAAGAAACATGGAGAATCAAGAGCTGTTGCGCTTGATATTGTCAAATATAGGAAATAATCATGAAATAATTCAAATTCATTTACAATATTTTA